AATCTTTGGCTCGACAATCCTTTGTGTCTGTGGATCCGGCTTGCTCTAAGATTAGTTACTATTCTGTTTGGTTTCAGGCAATGTGTTGCCATCTTCTGATCTCTAGTATCCCTAAGTTGGTCTCAACTCCATCTAACCACCTAATTCGCGTTCTGTCTCTGCTTTTTCTTCCTATATGTGTTCCTGTCATTAGCTTTTTAGCAATTATGTTGTCAGGTATACGTATTATGTGTCCAGTCTATCTAAGTCGCTGTGTTTTAATGAACGTTACGACATCTGGTTCATCAAAGAGTTGGCATAATTCAAATAAAATCTGTAGCTCCAAATAATTTGCGGAGTATCTTACGCTCGAATATTCCCAGAAGTCTTTCATCCTTCTGCGTTAGAGTCCATGTTTGTGCCCCGTATGTGAGGACTGGCCTCAGCAGTGTTTTGAATACAATAATTTTAGTTTTTCGTTGGATATTTCTTGAGTGGAATTCTTTTTTGAGTTAATAGTATTCCCCATTTGTAAGGTTAATTCTTTTTTTTATTTTTTGCCTTGTTTTATTGATAGTAGTGACTAGCGAGCCAAGGTATGTGATGCTGTCAACACGTTCAAAGACATGACTTCCAAATGATGTTTCCCGTTCCTTATTCGCTATAGGATACTTAGTAACCAACATGTACTTAGTTTTGTCTTCGTTGATGACTAGACTATCCTGTTTCGCCGCCGCTTGCTACGCCATATTATGTCAATGTCATCAGCGGATTCTAAGATTTGTATCGATCTATTGTAGATAGTACCGCCGTCTCTAATTCGTGTGTCTCGGACTGCCTTTTCCAAGGCATTGTTAAATAGGAGGCAAGCCAGGGTATTTCCTTGTCTAAGTCCATCCTTTATCTCAAAGGATTAAGAATTTTTTCCTGTATCTTTACTCTGGCTTTTAAGTTAGACATTGCCATTTTCGTTAATAGCATAACTTTTTCTGGTATAACAAACTCACGCATTAATAAAATTGGTATAGTATTGTTCTCTTGACACTGTCGTAGTCGGCCTTGAAGTCGACAAATAGGTGATAGGTTTCAATGTTAAATTCTAATGTTTTGGAGCGAGCTTATTGGGTGAATCTGGTCAATTGTTGATTTTTCTGGAGTAAGTCCGGCCTGGTATTTTTTAACTATGGCAACTGTGTACACTTGTAGCAATTCGTAGAAAATATTTGTTTGTAATAGTTGTCACACTGGAAATAATCACCTTCTTTATGTAAATGGGCATATCACGCCTTGAGATCATTCACAGGCTATGGACTCACTTTGCTCTTCTTGTGCATCTAGTTTAATTTATCTTTTTGTATGCTCTATTTTTGTTATATGTTGCTTCTTGGTACTCCTCGTCAAACCATTCATTTTACCTAACTGGTTTGGTTTTCCCTAATATTTCCGATGCCTTCTTAGTTATTATGTTTATACAATTTGTCCGTAATTCCTCCATATTTTCCCCTGCTTCCAGGCTCTCTATTTTCCCATCCATTTGTCTCCTACACTATCTCGCAACTGCTTCAATGCTTAGTATATTATTATCTCAAATATTCATGTTTTTGTTTTTTTTTGTTGTCCAAGTTTCTTGATATTTTTTATATTTTATTTTGCACTTATATTTTTTTGGACAATTTTTTAGAAATTGACCGTTTCCATTAATCTTTTGCAGGAAAGAGGCTTAGAGACAATTTTTCTAAGGTATTGTTTTTATTTAACTATTTGTGCGTTATGTGGCTTATTATAATTTTATTACGGTTTGCGAAGAATTATCACATTCTGTTTCTTTTTCTTTCTACAATTGTTCGCATAACTTTTTTTACTTCTATATCACGTTTTTCGGCATGTGTGGGCGCTGATAAACTTACAAACAACGTAAATCAATTAATAATGTATTATTGCACCTCAGTAGGCAACACATTCTTACATACGTCTGATCTTGCTGTTAAGTAGGTGGTCAATATCCACCCCATGGCCTAATTAATTCCTGTTGAAGTGATCCCAAAGTTTGAAGAGAATGCTGTAAATAAAGAACTGTCCCACCCGTCATGTTATAGGCGTGTTTAATTCAGGATAAATCTGGAGATCTCTGGAGTTGCAACTTCTGAAGATAGGGTATAAGATGTGATTCCAGAAAGTCTTTGACGTATCGCTGAACTGTCATATTCCTTCTAATAAAGGTTAGTGGTGATCAAGATTCATTACTAATGACCTTCCTGAAGTCATGCCAATCGTTCTCTGCTCCATTTTAGACAATTACGTCGATGTTCAGGGATAAGAGGTAGCACTCAGTGTACGCCCAATGAAAAAAGGGTAAAACTGCAAATTCAACAATACATTATTTGCATGTATCCAAATTTTGGTCTTCTATTTTCTGCAAATCATTGATTTGTAGGAAAATAAATAAAAACCGAAAATCTAACTGATATGGATACAATTCTAATCATTTATTGATTTTTTCAAGAGAAGCCTGTATATTAAATTTTAATAAAATAAATAAATTATAATGAGTGTTCTGATTTACTGTCACTATATTTTTAATTTATATGGTAATCTATTCCATTAATTAGTTTAAAATCTAAGATATTATGCTATCAATTATAAAAGTCATTTCTAAGTCTTAGTTTCCCTTCTCTTTTGCTCTGTATGTGCCTTTGTTTCTTTAGCAAGTTTTCTAATTATTTGGTTTGTTGTATCGTGGCCGATTATAATTTTGTGGAGTTCGTTGAAGCGTTGTTTGAGCTTCCTGTTTGTTAGTGTCAAAATAGTTTATGTGTCAAATGCAAAATAAATATATTTTTTCTGAGTAGTCGACGATTAAATCGCATATGAGCATCGAACTTCCCTACTCTGTTTCGTAAGTCGTTTCTGTCTTCTGTCAGAAGAATTAGAACTTACTTTCCACCATATCCTCCTCGGGCCGAAACATGAATTGCAGTGATTTTTTTGTTGCCAATCGAAAGAATGTTACAATTTGGGATTACTAATCATTTTTTTAAGCCCTTTTCTATTCGGATTGCCGAATATAGGTCTCTCCCAATTCTCGCCATTCATCTTTGTTGTTTGTAAAACGTTTTTACATTGGCACTGCAGTTCTTTTAATATCGTCGCTCCATCGCATTTGCGGTCTTCCTCGTGGTATTTTGGCTTCATATGGCCGCCAATTCCCGATTTCTTTATTCCATCGGCCATCCGTAGAACGTTTTATGTCCAGCCCATTTCCATTTCAATTTAGCTGCTTGTTCGACAGCATTTTTTAGTTTTGTTGTGTAAGCACAGGTAGGATACAGGAATTAAACACTTTTATTCGCAGTCTTTGAGGTAAATTTTTTTATTTTTAAATACGTATCAGAGTCTTCCGAATGCTGCCTATTCCATTTTTACACGTCTGCTTATTTCGGTAGTCTGATTTTCTTGACATTTTGACCCAAATATTGTTATATTGGTATTTATTCTAGAGAATACGTAGCTTGGTCACTACTAATCATAAAAAACAAAAAATAAAAAAACTAACCTTTTGGATTTTTCAATAATTGTAGTATCACTAGTGATACTTTGGATCTGGACTGACAATAAAAAAAATTATATTCACTTATCATTTTATTGATGAAATTTAGTAAAACAATTTCTATTGACACCACAACATAAAAAAGCCTTGCACCGGGCATGACAAACCTCAGGTTGTGGCATCCAGGATACTTGCATTTTGATCTTGATTTTTGGCTTTCATGAACGAAAGCTAAACGGTGTTTAGCTTCCTGTGGCTGTAAGCGATTATCAGGGATTGGTGCTGTCTTTCTTCTTTTGCTGGTTAAATTTTCATTTTCTTTATCACTTTCGTCGGATGTGGGTTCACTTCTGTTCTTGGAGTACAAGAGCGACCTAGCAAGCGAAAACTGAAATGATAGGTAATCTTAAATATGTTTTTGGGAGTTTCTGCAGCTAAACAATCTTTCTTGTATTGTAGCCAACTAGCTGCAGAACAAAAATCAATAAAGGCGTAAATACATCGTATTGTCCATTTATTTGTTCTACTGTCCATAGGGTACTTTATCCCAATCCTATCCAACAAATCTGCTCCACCCATGCTTTCATTGTAGTGCTTAATCAGTACTAGACGATTTATTTCTAAGTATTTTTTATCTTTTACTGAGCAGCGCCTACCTAATTTCAAGGGTCAGCTTCAAATGCTGATAAAGCCATATAGATTGGTTTGGAATCAAACCATTTTGTAATTTGTCTTTGTTGACGAGCATACGTCACATCAGTTTTTAATATTCTATTTTTCATAAGTGTTCCTGTTGCTTCTGTAAATGTACTTCATCAATTAATATTTTTGACGTAAAATATCTGTCAACAAAAATAGATACTCCTACTGGCAGAGTATCTGTAAGATTTAAAACAACCCTTTCCCCGATATCCAGCCTTTCTGGTGTAAGTACCAAGCTGGATTCAATAAATCTGTCTTTACCTGCAAGGTTTGCCTACAAAATTTTTCAATCCTATAAGGTTAGGTTTTCTTCGCCCAAACTGTCTATTTAATACTTTTCGATTAAAGGGAATCATTTGCTAATCGATTGACACTTTTTCAGTTCTTTCATTATTCAGACAATCCCTTTGAATTTGATCCAATAATGGTCTTACTTTCCAGAATCAATCATTTTTTAGTCTCCTTGGCTACAGAATCATCATCAACAATTTTGAGTTGTGTTCGAATGGCAAAAAAACGATTTCTTGATATGTTATCTGAAACTATTGGTACTCTGGTATCCATTTGCCAAAACAATCGGATTCATGGTAAATTATAAATACCAATATGAAGCAGCATGCAATAAATGTTTTTAATTCTTCTGCAGAAGTCTCCAAAAATTTTCCAGTTTGTTTTACTTCCTTCATATTTATGTACAATGCCATGGATTCAAAAAAATTGTTGTCGATGTATTTATTGAAGTCGTCAATAGGTCTTGGAATATTTTCGGCATTTAAAAGATCTTGCATAGAGGGTTGATATTGAGCAAATTGTGGTGTAAAATGTATTTTCTTTCAGTCTTTCCTGTCTTTTTAGGAATAGAATTCGCCGTGTTACTCATTTTTAAAAGCCCGGTTGCCAAGAGCATATCATCATTCGAATCGTCGTCTGATATGTCACTGATTTCAGCGTGATCGTCACCCCTTTCTTCCCCACTTTCAATAATTATTTCCTTCTCATCCAGATTTCTAGGTTCATCCCATTCATCCCTATCATCATCCCTGTCAGGAAAAAGAGAAAGATCCAAATGAGAGTCATCTAAATTCACATTATCTGCGATTTCCTGAACTTCAGTCGTAGTCAGCGGCCCTAAAAATAAAAAAAATGTTTTAAAATACAAAACTACAGACTACAGGACAAAAGAACCATTGTAACTATCACCAATTTATCACAATTTAGTACCTTTATTAACACTAAAATGTACTGATCATATACAGAAACATGCTAAATATTATGTACTTACTTTTATTATTGATGTTTTTTTAGCGTCTGTTTGCCACGGCGCAATTTTTTACACATAGTAGATAACTGCGTTTGCCGTCGAATGCGAAGAATAATTTGTTGAACCGTAGCATCATATAATTATGATACCTGGGGTCCGAGAAGGTTATATTGCACAAAATGTGGATCTTATCAATTTTTGTCTTCCTAGTAATTCTTCTACGGATAACTGATAATAGAAAAATATATACGGAGAAATACATTTTTTAGTGCCTACAGTTATTAAAGAACTTATTTATTTATTTTAGGAATTTACATTTTTTTTCGCATTTTTTAAAAATTAAATTTTTTTAGATGAAAAATACGTAGACAAAATGATTTTGGATTATGAACAAGTCAGCATGGACTTGGAGGGAAAACATGCAGGAGGAAGAAGAATGTCCAGGTGGGAAGAAAATAGACAAGAAAGACTGAGAAAAGCATCTTATGTTTCAGGACAATTTGAATGTTAATGCAACAGTACGCTTTTATTATCATTTCTGTTTCAAGATTGTGATACACTAGTCAAATTAGAATGTTGATAGAGATATATTTTTGTTGATAGAAGTAAAATTTTGTATATACTCGTAGAAATTAAATTATTTTTTATATCAACATCTACTTCTTTTATTTATTAAAAATATGTCAAAATATGTCGTATAGAAAATATTCTTGATTGGAAAGGAATAAAGATAAATGACTTTCTTACAAAAACGTTATTTCCAGCAAATACTGATTTTAATTTTAATTTAGGTTTAACTAAAAGCATCTAAAGCAATTTATAAATAAATTTAACTAAATCTATAAACTACAATAGACTAAAGAAAATTCTCATTATCAAATATATTACATTGAACCTTAAAATTAGATTAATATGCATCTTCATATTCTCCACATTGCTGTATGATATAAAGAGCTAGACTTTTACAGAAAAACTAATGAAAAAACTGAAAGACTTTGAGATGTAAGTTTACCGACGAATATTGCAAATTGTTGGGTAGATTGAATAAGCAATGGAACACTTTTCCACCAAATGAAAAAGAGCACAGAAATATCATAAACAATAAAAGACATCCAGAGAGGTTTAATCTTCTGCACCTCATAATCCAGAGCAAGATCGTCGGAAGAAGAGGCACAGGCCGAACAAGAAATCTCCGAGAGTGGTTTTAGGAACTATCCGATAATCTGTATCGAGTACCGTACTTAAACACAAGTTATTATTGCCAATACGATCGCCAATGTTCGATAATTGGACAGGGTACTGAAAGAAGAAGAAGATGTAATTGGTACCGATAAATAATCAGTAGCCCAAATATAAGAATCAAATCAATAAAAATACCTCAGCCATCTGAGATTTGCAGATGACATTGTTCTGATTGCTAATTATCCAGCAGAACTACAAGAACTTATAAGCGACATAAATACAGCAAGCAATGAAGTTTGTCTAAAAGTAAACTTGGCAAAAAAAAAATAACCATGTATAAGGAACTAGTGGATGTCCAAGATGCAATAATAAGCAACACTGTACAGTAGAAGAGTAGACCTGGTACAATTAATACATAAATATGTATCTTACTCCTAGAAATCAACACCTGGGTAGAAATGCAGTTTTATTCAAATCGAAGAAATTTACTTGAAGAAAAAAGCATTCGATCAGTGTATACTACCAATCATGACATACGGCTACGAAACTTGAACATAATAGCGAAATTCAAAATCACTCAAAGGTCAATGAAGCGACGCATGCTAGGTATAACAAAGATAGATAAAAAAATAGATCAGGAAAAATGGATCAGACAGAAAACCAAGGTCGATGTGATACATAAAATTAAATCTTTCAAGTGACAGTGAGCGGAACTGGTCTTCTACCGAAGGTTGCGACCATCAAACGATGGGTTTCTTTATTTTGTGCCTCATGTCTTATGTTTGCTGCTTCTGATATGTGGAAACCTTCTCTTAAGCTTCTCAGCCAGAATTTTTTCATTCTGATCAAACGTTTTCTACCTTTAATATTGGCTTTCACCATAAGCTGTAGTAGACTGTACTTATCGTTACGAAACACATAGTACATATATGTGGCTTGTTTTCTTTTTTAATAGTTTTTGACATTACCATATGTTAACCCATTCGTCGCAATACCCCTGTGTTAATTCCTCTATCGATCCAGGATATTCTCAGTATACGTCTTTACAGCCAAATCATTATTTTTATAGTCGCTGGTATTCACACCTCTACTCCGTGAAGTATCATAGAGAGTGCGTATCATTTCATGGCGTGACATCGGATAAGTACTAACACTTAGACAACCTTAGCATTAGGTTTCTTATTACTTAAGAGCTTTCTTATTTTCTAGATTAGCTTAGCTTAATCTATTTGTATATTCCAGATATTTGAATCGGTGTACTGTTTTAATATGTTCGATTTTAATATGCAGGTCGATATTTTGAATGTTCTTTTTACTAATCACCATAAATTTAGTTTTCTTTCTATTGATCTTTAGTCCAAATTGGCTACATGTAATATTTACTACATTGAGCATCATCTGTAAATATTTGATGTATAGGCCAGTATAACAGTATCAGCTGCATATAAAATTACTTATTGGTACGCCATTAATCTTGATCTCTTCACTGTATTCTTCTATTTCCTCTATAAGCATTTGTTTCATGTATAGGTTGGTATAAACCATGTCTATTACGACATAAGATAAACATATATAACGTCATAAGATAAACATAGATGTGGGGGTTTGTCTTAACCAACCGGCCAAGTAAAAGCGAACTGCAATAAAAACCCCCTAATGTCAATGTGAAATAGCATAAGCAGGAGAATTAATGGTTAGATGGTATCTAACTTTTATTATGTAAACTCTGGGGCACCTGGCGTACCTCAGGTTCAATAACCTTTCCTTAGCATGCGGGGTCCTGCTGCAGGTGATATTTAGTTCCCTAGCTTTTCGTGGTAATCTGTCTGGAACTATATATTAAAGAAAAAACGGGAATATCCAACTTCCAAAAATCGGACACGGAAATGGAGGTTAGCGACCCTTATGTACAAGCCAAAATAAGCCTGGAAAAACTAAGGAGGAGGTACTCCTAACTAGTTGCGACGAGATGAGGCCTTAAGTCTCCTACACGAAAAAAAGTGTAAAACTATCTGGTGCCGCAAAAAAAAGGTATACCTTATTAACAAAGGACTGACTTCGAAAGAAATTCGAAAAAAAGCAGTGGCACCCATAAAGGTGACACCTTTGAAAAAAAGTTCCTAAGGGTTCTGCTCCGAAGATAATACTCTCGAAGACTGATAGGCAAAAAAATCAGGGAGTGATGCATAAAAAAGTGACAATATGCCTAAATTGGCAAAACCCTCCTTTAGTCAAATGACTGACGGTGTTAAAGTGGGAATTCTACTTTCGGAGTTCTCACGTCATCTCCTTACAACGAAACAGTTAGCGGCGGTTGAGGAGATTATCCTAGATAATGTTCTAGAGTACCAAAAAGAAAAGAGTAAAAACCCCAACTTTTTGAGTGCTCAAAATAGAACTGGCTAGCTAGATCAAAAACTCACCTGAAATAATGATATTGAAAAAATCTTTTTCAGAGTATTGTTGGCAAGTTAGACCTGATACAAGAAAATTGGAAATACTTCACGTCTAAAACCGAAATTGACCCTCTGGTTATATAAAACGATTATAAGGCTCATGGTCACATACGCATGATTCATATGGTGGCCAAAAATACATCAAACAAGAGCTAACGTCAAGTTGCCAAAAGTGCACCGGTTAGATTGTCTGGGATTTACAGAGGCAATGTCATCATACCCCACTGCAGCTCTAGAGATAATATGCTGAACCTTTCACCCTTGCAGTTCTGCATATGGAGTAATGCAGTAACCACCGCCTTAAAACTGCGAAGACACAAATAATAAAACCCGGAGATCTAGTCGATTTTCTTAAAATCTAGGAAGAAATCCCATTGGGTTCTAAGGACAGGCCGACCGATGCCACGCTAGCCAAATTCAACTTTAAAACACCGTTTGAAGTAGTCATAAAAAACCACCAAATGGGTGAAGAAGTTGAACCAAAACTTAAAGACAGTTCACTCTTATGGTATACGGATGTATATAAGATAGATGAAAGGACAGGAGGGGGAGTTACTGGGTCAAATTTTAAGCTATCCAAATCTATTGGAAACGCGACTAATATAACGTCTCAACCGAAACACTCGTAGGGCAAAAGTATTTATTGTTTCAGACAACCAAGCCACCTTAAAGACTGTAAAGTCATTTGCTTGTGAGTCAAAGCTGATTTGGTACTGTAAACAATCCCTCAAAAACCTGGCTGAACTCAACAAAGTAACTTTGATGTGAGTGCTAGGTCACAAGGAATTGCAGGAAATTAAGAAGCTGACAGGCTCACAAAAGAAGGGGCTAATACTTCAGTTCAGGGTCTAGAACTCCATTGTGGACTATCGAAAAGCCACATCAGAAGGAACTCTGGACCTGGAAACTGAATCAACTAAGTACATTATAGACCATAATCCATAAATAAATTCTTTATGTAAATTTTTTAAGTCCGTAACTTTTCTTCATTGTCTACAATAAGTTTGTCTCATCAGTCAATACGTTTAGAATTGCTGTTCACATATTTAACTTTATTTTTTTGCTTAGATTAGTTAGGTTTTGGAGAATGTGATTCGATATTCGGACCTTTTTTTTGTTTTACTTTCTTTTATCTTTGCTTCAATTTTGAATGGAGAATTTCATATATATTATTCCCTTTGAATAGATGAACTAATGTACTGTTTTAAGACAAAATTTAAAACTTATTATTTTATAATATTTATTACGACCAGAATTTTTAATATACAAAGCTTAACCTAAATAAATAAATACAATTAATATAGTTTAACCGTAAGATACAGTATATCCCATGTTCCGCATTAACGTCTCCTTTATAGCTGGCTGTAATTCCTTTTGCATATATGATGTTAGAAGGGACCTGATTCCTAAAAAAATGAGATATGAATTGATTATCCACTTAAAATGACATAAAAATGACATAAAAATTTAAATGATCTTATTTTAAATTTATTAAAACAGTTTACTGATACATTTATTTATTTTTTACTTATTTATTTTATTTTTTATTTATTTAGCTTATGGTTACATTACAGGTAAGTTATACATATAGAGAGTTGTGTATATAAATAGAACAAATATAGTATAAAACAAATATTACAAATTGGTATTTAACAGTACTAAAAATTCTACAAAAAACCTCAAGGTTACAAATATATTCAATGGACTGCCCGGACTGCCGGAGTGATGACGTAGATTTTTTTGACATCTGTCAGTTTCACTTTCCAAACAAACTTTGTTTAGTGTGAAAAATTTGTATTTTTTGTTGTTTTTTAATTTTTTTACAAAATCTTTCCGCTTTTTGCAATATCTAAGTATTCTAATAGTTACTACAACAATTTTAGAAGGTTGTGTAAATAATAAAGCATGTTGTTTTGTAAAAATAGCAATAAAATGCATGTCAATAAAGTAAGGTTAGAATTTCTTTAATTTAAACTTTTAAACTACATTTCATAGCAATAGAACAATAAATTATGAT